CCCAACAACACGATACAATAAAGGAAATCAAAACACACACAATAACAAGATAAATTACATAAAACATAAAAATACAGCAAACAATATAAAATTAAAATCAGTCATAACACAGTGATTGTGACAGTGAGTGGGCCGCATGTACAGAATAAAATCCAAAAGCTAAAAACTAAAATTTGTGAAGATTATTTGTGATTATTTGTGAAGGAGAAACTCTTCGAACACGAGGTCAAGAAAGGTCTTTGTACAGGAGAGGAGGAGGTATACTCTAAGGGCAAATGTTGAGGCGTAGCAGCAATATCAGATTGTATGGTTAATCACCAAAAGCGCAACAGAAGAGCCAGGTTTTGAGAGTCTTCTTAAAACTTTCTAAGGTGGGGGCTCACCTAATCTCACTGGGCAGTGTATTCCAAAGTCGAGGGCTACTGAGGAGAAAGCTCTCTCCCTTGTTCCCACAAGGTAGACCTGAGATAACAGCAGAGGTGACAGGAGAGCCTCCGTGAAGATCGAAGGGATCGGGCAGCTTCATGGAGAGAGATACAGTCACGAAGGTAGGCAGGTCCCAAACCGTTTAGGGCTTTATAGGTGACGACCGGAACCTTGAATTGGGACCGGAAAATGAACGGCACCCAGTGGAGCTCCTTAAACAGAGGGGTCATCCGCTCCCTGTAATTCGCCCCCATTATTAATCTGGCCACTGAACATTGGACAAGCTATAGTTTCTGGACCGTCTTCAAGGGAAGCCCCACGTAGAGCGGATTGCAGTAATCCTGTCTGGAGGAAACGAAGGCATGGCCAAGTCCGACTTCATGAGATATGGTTGCAGTTGGCGCACAAGTTTTAACTGTGAGTTTTAACTTCCTGACTGTGAGAGCCGTTCAGCAGTGGAACTCTCTGCCCCGGAGTGTGGTGGAGGCTCCTTCTTTGGAAGCTTTTGAACAGAGGCTGGATGGCCATCTGTCAGGGGTGATTTGAATGCAATATTCCTGCTTCTTGGCAGAATGGGGTTGGACAGGATGGCCCATGAAGTCTCTTCCAACTCTCTGATTCTATGAACTGTGCAAAGGCCCTCCTGGTCACCGCCGACACCTGCGCATCAAGCGTCAGTGCTGAGTCCAGGAGGACCCTCAAACTGCGGACCTGTGACTTCAGGGGGAGTGCAACCCCGTCCAGCACAGGTTGCCACCCAATACCCCAGTCGGGTGTATAACTGCTCTCTGGAGCAGGTTAGAAGCTTCCAGTATTTGGGACTTTAACTTGCACCACACCTTATCCTGGAGAGAGCACTCTGAAATTGTGATTCAAAAGACAAAGGCCTGTCGAGCAGCCTTAAGAAGATCTATTACACCAAAGGACCGTATGTCCCCTCTGCACTAAAAATCTTTAATGCCAAAACAGCCTCTAAATTCCTCTCTGATGCAGCCATATGGTGTGAAAGCTCGACTGTTCTCCTAGATCAGGGACCCCCAAACTAAAGCCTGGGGGCGTGAAATGGCCCTCCAAGGTCATTTACCTGGCCCTCACTCAGGGTCAATCTAAGTCTGAAATGACAAGAACAACAATAACAACAACAATCCTATCTCGTCAGCCAAAAGCAGGTCTACATTTCCCATTGAAATACTAATAAGTTTATATTTGTTAAAATTGCTCTTCATTTTAATTTCAGTATTGTTTTTAAGTGTTTTTTGCACTACAAATAAGATATGCATAGGAATTCATACATTTTTTTTCAAATTATAATCCAGCCCTCCAACAGTTTGAGGGACTGTGACCTGGCCCTCCGTTTACAAAGTTTGAGGACCCCTATCCTAGATAACGGTGCTCCATGCAGTCATGCCGGCCACATGATCTTGGAGGTGTCTACAGACAACGCCGGCTCTTCGGCCTAGAAATGGAGATGAGCACCACACGCCAGAGCCAGACACGACTGGACTTCATGTCAGAGAAAAACCTTTAACTAGGAAAATTGTGGAAGATCCAGGGTGGGAGAAAGAACTCTTGTCTGTTGGGAGGTAGGTATGAATGTTTCAATTGGCCACCTTGATTACCATTTCATAGCCTGACAGTTTTTAGGGAGAATCCTTTGTTGAGAGGTGATTAGCTGACTTAATGTCAGGGGACAACCTTTACTTTTTACTATCCTAGATAGAGTGCAAGCAAGGTTTATAAGAGATCTTCTAAATGTGCCTCCTTCTGTACCAAATGCAGTCCTGCTCCTAGAAAAGGGTGAATGCAACTGAGCACTAGGGCCTGGACTCTGAAAACGAATCTGTGGTTAAAAACCATGGTTTTCAAACTGGGAAAAGGTTGACTGCATCACCTCCCTCATGAAGCCTCCAAACCCCTTTGGGCATGGAGGACTGAACGAAAAGCAGCCTCAACTGGACTATCTGCACCCCTTCTGCTCCATCTGGGATTCAAAATGGCACAGAAGTCCCTGAAGCAAAGGCTGAGGGAGATTGCCCTGGGAGAGCTTAGCGCCCACTCAAATTCACCATGTCGACCATATTTTTCATGTGAATACCATTGTTGTTGTTGTTCATTCGTTCAGTCGTCTCCGACTCTTCGTGACCTCATGGACCAGCCCACGCCAGAGCTCCCTGTCGGCCGTCACCACCCCCAGCTCCTTCAAGGTCAGTCCAGTCACTTCCATCCATCTTGCCCTTGGTTGGCCCCTCTTCCTTTTACCTTCATACTTTTTTCAGCACAGTTGTCTTCTCTAAGCTTTCCTGTCTCTCATGATGTGGCCAAAGTACTTCAACTTTGTCTCTAATATCCTTCCCTACAGTGAGCAGTCGGGCTTTATTTCCTGGAGGATGGACTGGTTGGATCTTCTCGCAGTCCAAGGCACTCTCAGAACTTTCCTCCAACACCACAGCTCAAAAGCATCGATCTTCCTTCGCTCAGCCTTCCCTAAGGTCCAGCTCTCCCATCCGTAGGTTACTACAGGGAATACCATGGCTTTGACTAGGCGGATCTTTGTTGCCAGTCTGATGTCTCTACTCTTTACTATTTTATCGAGACTGGACATTGCTCTCCTCCCAAGAAGTAAGCGTCTTCTGACTTCCTGGCTACAGTCTGCATCTGCATCTTTATTTCTAAGAGCCGTAGCAAACTAGGATTTTGCGAGAGCAAACTAAGCCAGCACGAGCGATGCTCCGCCTCTTTCTCCGCCTATTTCCCTTTGCTAGGGCAGCGTTGCGAGCATACGCTCGTGCCGCAGCAAACTACAGGAAGCTTGCGCTCGGGCTTGCTCCGAAGCCCCGCCTTTTTTCCCCCTGAGGCTGCTCTCTCTCTTGCTAGCGTGCCTGTTTTCCATTGCAGAGGGCAGGGATGCAAGCGTACGCTCACAGTTGAATTCTGCCAACTGCGAGAGTACACTCGCATCGCTTCCCTAGCAAGGGAAAACAGGCACACTAGCAAGAGAGAGAGCAGCCTCGGGGGGAAAAAGGCGGGGCTTCGGAGCAAGCTCAAGCACAAGCTCGCTCTCGCTTCCAGTAGTTTGCTACAGCTCTTACACTGATTCAATATCGTAGACTCTTTACAAAGGCGAGACTAAATGTATTTCCCTCAGAGTTGCTAAGAGGCAGACTGTCTGGAATCCCTTGCTTCCAAAGACTATGCCCCTGTGGAGGAAATGAAACAGAAACAATAGGACACATTTTACTGCAGTGCCACTACTACGCAATGCAACGTCGCCAACTTTTCTATACACTCCTGTCCCGCATGACCAGCCATCCCCATATGCAGGGAATTGTTTGATATCTTTTAGAGGACAAGGGCCACAGGGCGATTCTCATAGTGGGAAAATTCCTCCCAGTGGCAACAAGGCTGAGAAAGCAACTAACCTCTGATAGGGGTATTACTTGAAACCACGTAGATCTATTCTGTACAACAGACTTCTCCTGAGATGGGAGAATTTATAATGGTTGTTGGTTGTGCTGATGGGTCTATGGACTGCAATAAAAATTGTTGTGGTATGTTTTCATTATCGGTATGCATTTTGATCCAGAAGGCTTTAGTCGTTGGGCAAGTCCACCACATATGATAAAAGGTTCCAGTTATTTGGTTACATTTCCAGCAATTTTTTTTATCTTTGAGAGCTTTAATGGAGTTATATAACATCATAGAATCATAGAATCAAAGAGTTGGAAGAGACCTCATGGGCCATCCAGTCCAATCCTATTCTGCTAAGAAGCAGGAATAATGCATTGAAATCCCCCCTGACAGATGGCCATCCAGCCTCTGTTTCAAAGCTTCCAAAGAAGGAGCCTCCACCACACTCCAGGGCAGAGAGTTCCACTGCTGAATGGCTCTCACAGTCAGGAAGTTCTTCCTCGTGTTCAGGTGGAATCTCCTCTCTTGTAGTTTGAAGCCATTGCTCCATTGCGTCCTAGTCTCCAGGGAAGCAGAAAGGAAGCTTGCTCCCTCCTCCTCCCTGTGGCTTCCTCTCACATATTTATACATGGCTATCATATCTCCTCTCAACCTTCTCTTCTTCAGGCTAAACATGCCCAGCTCCTTAAGCCGCTCCTCAGAGGGCTTGTTCTCCAGACCCTTGATCATTTTAGTCGCCCTCCACATCTACATTGGTAGATCAGTTTGTAAAAAATTTCTTTAACAGAGCAACTTCTTGTAAATTGTAATGTTTTCTTCCAAAGTTCTTCCCATTCTTTTAAATTTATTTATTTAAGCCCAATATTTCTGGGCCTTTCACCACAATATGATAAAAAGTCCCAACATTATGCAGTCACTTACATTAGGTATGACATTTCTCTGGCATCACATTACTAGAGTGTGAGTCCTTTGATGTGAATGTAGGTCTCCATTCTTAGTGAAGCTCTTTCCACACTCCAGGCATTTATAGGGTTTCTCACCAGTGTGAGTATGTTGATTTGAATGTAAACTTCCACCGCTAGAGAAGCTCTTTCCACACTCCAGACGTTTATAGGGTTTCTCACCATTGTAAATCCTTTCATGTTTCTGCAGATGAGCCCTTCGAGTGAAGCTCTTTTCACACTCCAGGCATTTATGAGGTTTCTCACCAGTGTGAGTTCGCTGATGTGAATGTAAAACTCTACTGTTATTGAAGCTCTTTCCACACTCCAGTGTGAATCCTTTCATGTTGCTGCAGACATTGTCTCTGAGTAAAACTCTTTCCACACTCCAGGCATTTATAGGGGTTCTCCCCAGTGTGAGTTCTCTGATGTTTACGTAGGCTTCCACTCTGAGTGAAGCTCTTTCCACACTCCAGACATTTATAGGGTTTCTCCCCAGTGTGAGTCCTTTCATGTTGCTGCAGATAAGCCTTTCGAGTGAAGCTCTTTCCACACTCAAGGCATTCAAAGGGTTTCTCCCCAGTGTGAGTCCTTTCATGTTGCTGCAAAGAATTCCTCCAACCGAAACTCTTTCCACACTCCAGGCATTTATAAGGTTTCTCACCAGTGTGAATCCTTTCATGTTGATGTAAAAGTGCCTTCCAAGTGAAGTTCTTTCCACACTCAAGGCATTCATAGGGTTTCTCACCAGTATGAATCTTTTCATGTTGCTGCAGATGTTGCCTCTGAGTGAAACTCTTTCCACACTCAAGGCATTCATAGGGTTTCTCACCACTATGAATCCTTTCATGTTGCTGCAGATGTTGCCTCTGAGTTAAGTTCTTTCCACACTCGAGGCATTCATAGGGGTTCTCACCAGTGTGAATCCATTCATGTTGCTGCAGATGTTGCCTCTGAGTGAATCTCTTTCCACACTCAAGGCATTCATAGGGTTTCTCACCAGTGTGAATCCTTTCATGTTTCTGCAGAATTTGCCTCTGAGTGAAGCTCTTTCCACACTCAAGGCATTCATAGGGTTTCTCACCAGTGTGAGTTCGTTGATGTAAACATAAATTTCTACTGCCAGCGAAGCTCTTTCCACACTCCAGACATTTATAGGGTTTCTCCCCTGTGTGAGTCCTTTCATGTTGCTGCAGCTGGTCCCTCTGAGTGAAGCTCTTTCCACACTCGAAGCATTCATAGGGTTTCTCACCAGTGTGAATCCTTATATGTTGCTGCAGATGATGTCTCAAAGTGAAATTCTTTCCACACTCCAGGCATTTATAAGGTTTCTCACCAGTGTGAATCCTCTCATGTCGATGTAAAAGTACCCTCCAAGTGAACCTCTTTCCACACTCGAGACATTCATAGGGTTTCTCACCAGTATGAATCCTTTCATGTCGCTGCAGATTGTACCTCTGATTGAAGCTCTTTCCACATTCCAGGCATTTATAGGGTTTCTCCCCAGTGTGAATCCTTTCATGTTGCTGCAGAGCATGCTTCCAACTGAAACTCTTTCCACACTCGAGGCATTTATAGGGTTTCTCACCAGTGTGAATCCTTTCATGTTGATGTAAAAGTGACCTCCAAGTGAAGCTCTTTCCACACTCGAGGCATTCATAGGGTTTCCCATCAGTATGAATCCTTTCATGTCGCTGCAGCTGATGCCTCTGAGTGAAGCTCTTTCCACACTCGAGGCAGTCATAGGGTTTCTCACTAATGTGAGTTCGTTGATGTAAACGTAAATTTCTACTGCCAGTGAAGCTCTTTCCACACTCCAGACATGTATAGGGTTTCTCACCAGTGTGGGTTCGTTGATGTGAACGTAACCTTCCACTGTCAGTGAAGCTCGTTCCACACTCTGGGCATTTATAGGGGTTTTCACCAGTGTGAGTCCTTTCATGTTGCTGCAGCTGGTCCCTCTGAGTGAAGCATTTTCCACACTCTAGGCATTCATAAGATTTCTCTCCAGTGTGAGTTCTTTGATTTAAATATAAACCTACACTGTCGGTGAAGCTCTTCCCAAACTCCAGGCATGTATAGGGTTTCTCCTGCATGTTTACAATGATATGTATTTTTAACTGCAATTTGGACACTTTTCTTCTTTTTCCCTTTCTGATCAGTTCAGCAAGATCAGCACTTTGAGAGGATGTCTTTTTTTCCGAAAGGACTCTTTTTCTTACGGCACGTTTGGTTTCCAAATTCCTTAATGTCCACAGATGCTGGTTTGTTTCTCATCCCACCAAAGATATCTCCCTGGAATCCTTATGTTCCTGGTCAAGAAAGAAGCAGCAAAAGATTAGGCATGAAAGTTCCTTTCCCTTTTTTTCCACTCATGAATGTTTGCTGCTACCAAATTTTCTGATATTCCCAAATAAACACTTCATTCATCCAAGATCTGGATACTTCAAACCCACATTTAAATATATTGGGGTATTCGACTCATTACTCTCTGTTGAACTAAGTCCCCTTCTCTGCCGTTCACTCCCTCAGTTGTGCCCCGGGATGGGATGCAAAGCAAGTGCAGCTTAATCCAAAAAGCCTCCTTCCTGCCCACCTTTTCCTACTCTGGCGCAGGCATTCTCCTTCTCCTTTGTCCTCTGCCCAGGGGAAGATTTTCAGCAGCTCAAGGAGATCTAGAAAAACACGGATTTCTATACAGAGATGTAAAAATGTTTGCAGTAATAAAAGTAATTACATCTTGACCTGGGGAAGAACAGGCGTCTACTCTGACCAGTCTTCCCATAGCAGCTGCCTCACAAATGCTCTCCTGAGCATGAGTGAAACCGAAGGAAAAGGGAGATGTAAATATGCCAATTTCCCCACGTAAATTAAATAAAAACAAGGGCCTACAAGTCTGGCCTCTCAAAATGAAATCCGAAGAAAGCTTGGGGGTGGGGGTTGAGAGAAAAAAAATCTTCCCTGTGATACCAAAATTCAGCTAGCCACTTAAGGAGCGGTGTGGATCTGGGAATGGAAACGACCACTACTTTTAAACCAGATCAATACATAGATGGGGTTTGAAGACAACAGGAACAGAGGTTTATTACTTCCAGGGCTGAAAGAATGTCTGATACAGAGTCCCTACTCTAAAACAATTGGGCATAGCCCTGTGTAATGATTCTTACCTCGTAGGCCAAAGTAGGAGCCTGAGATATCTGTAGGCAGGCCTCCATTTTGGGAGTGTAAGCATAGAAAGCAGACATCTTGGGAGTGTAAGAGGAGAAGAGGGGAGGAGTTGGAGCTCTCTCTGGATTGGTTAAGACAGTTGGGAGGAGTTAAGCACTGAGAGGGAAAAGTGTCAACTTGACAGAAAGCAGGAGGGAGGTTTTGGGAACAGGGAAGAGAGGTAGATTTTTGGTGAGCTGAGATTTTTCTGTCAGAGAGCATTTGTGACAGGCGATTCTGCATTATTTGGCTAGGAGGGTCAAAGTCGACGCCGGGGTGCTTGTGTGGGTTTTTGCACAAGTGGGTTTGCTCTCTGTGTTAGGGTATATTAGCTTACAGAGGACTCTGCTTAGAGTGTAGCTGATTGCTCTAGGGGCAACCTGGTTAGGTTAGTCTGTGGAACTCACTGCTACTGGATTTATTGTAGAGTGAGGGGTTTTACTCATATCTCAGCCAAGTAATCGGTTTGAAGTAACTATTGAAGTAACCCCAGGTTTCAGCGGTGACCAGGGGAGCATTTGCACAGTTAAAACTTGTGCGCCAGCTGCGCCCGTACCTTGGGAAGTCTGACTTGGCCACGGTAGTCCACGCTCTGGTTACATCCCGCATAGACTACTGCAATGCTCTCTACGTGGGGTTGCCTTTGAAGACTGCTCGGAAGCTTCAAATGGTCCAGCGCTCGGCAGCCAGGTTGCTAACAGGAGCGGCACTCAGGGAGCATACAAATCCTCTGTTGCCCCAGCTCCACTGGCTACCAGTTCGCTACCGGGCACAATTCAAAGTGCTGGCTTTAGCCTATAAAGCCCTAAACGGTTCTGGCCCAACTTACCTCTCCGAACGCATCTCCTCCTATGAACCGACTAGGACACTAAGATCATCTGGGGATTCCCTACTCTCGGTCCCCCCTGCATCACAGGCGCGCTTGGCAGGGACAAGAGACAGGGCCTTCTTGGTGGTGGCCCCTCGGCTGTGGAACGCCCTGCCTGCAGATATCAGATCGGCCCCCTCCTCCCTGCTGGCGTTTCGGAGGAAAGTGAAGACCTGGCTGTTTGAACAAGCATTTGACTAAACAGTGTAATTGAACATAGGAATACGGAATAATGGATGACGAGACTGGATTCTGATTTTACTGTCGAGGCGCTAATGATTGTTATACTGATGTTAATGATTTATGTGATAATTGTTTTTAATTGCCCTATACTTGTTTTGTGATATTTTGTACTGATGTTGTTCACCGCTTTGAGTCGCCTGAGGGCTGAGAAAAGCGGTATAGAAATAAAGTAAATAAATAAATAATAATAATATTAACATTATTGTACCTCAGTAACCAATTAAGCTTGTGTGCCTCATTGAAGAAGATAGTTGTTTGTTCTTATCAATAAATCTGTTACCTATTTGAACTTTTAAAAAAGCCTCAGTAGTGATTCATTCCTGTGGGAATATTTCCAGCTGTTTTAACATCTTTACTTCACAGTCATCTCAGGGAGCTAAGGGAGAGCTGGTGGGCAGGGAAGAAGATTACCTCAGGGAACCATTCTTTAATAGTCCCAAATTATTTTGGGTGGTGGCAGCAACTCTACCAGAGTATACACGTTGCCTCAACATGCATCTAAACGCTCCGTGCCAAGAAGCATACCCCATCAGATTGGTAGTTGTGGGATTTGTATTCTGGAGTTATAATCATACACCCTGATTTTGTTATACCATGCAATACAGTGCAAAACATTTTATTCCCTTTGACAGCTATTGAAAAGACTTGCTCCCTCCCGTGATTGGGTGAAAAGTGACAAAGTTAGGATCTGGGATTTTGTTGGCTGGGGACTCACTGTGATGTCAGAGGTGGACAGAGTCACCCTCATGGCGGAAAAAATAAAGAGCTGTCAAATTTTGAGGGTGCAGTTTAATGCAATACAGAGCTTAATCATACAGTTTAATGCAAAACAGAGCTTATGATGGAATTATAGGTGATATCTGAAGTACACAAAAGGAGTTGGCCTCTCAGATAATAAAGAGGCTTATGCAAACACAGCCAGTTCAATGGAAAGCATACAGAACAGTAAAGACTTCATCAAGGCATTGTTTGGGTCTGGTTTTTCCCATCACCTGGAGCTCCCCAGGAGACGGGAGATCCTTTAATCCTTCTTTCCCTCCGTCCCTTTTTCCTTCCTTCCTGTCCCTTCTTCCTTCTTCCTTTCCTTCTTTTCCTCCCTCCCTCCCTTTCCTCCTTCTTTCCCTTTCTTCATTTCCTTCCCTCCTTCCTTTCTTTATCCCCCTCCTTTCTTTCCCCCCTTCCTTCCTTCTCCTTCCTCCCTCCTTTCCTGACCCTCCTTCTTTCTTTTCCTTCCTTCCCTTCTTTCCATCCCTCCCTTCCTTTTTCCTTCCTGTCCCTCCTTCCTTCCTTCTTCCTTTCCTTCTTTCTATGTAAGATATAAATACAATATTAAATGGGACAGTCAAGAAGTAACGGGAGAAGGAGGGAAAAAGGGAAGGAAGGAGAGAAGGAGGGAGGGAGGGAAAGAAGGAAATAAAGATAGAGAAGCAAGGAAGTAGAGAAGGAAATAAAAAAGTGAAAGGAAAAAGAGAGGGAAGGAAGAAGCGAAGGAATGAAAGATAGGGAAGGAAGGAAATAACCAAAGAGCAAAGAAAGGGAAGAAAGAAACAGGTAGAGATGGAAGAAAGATGAGAGATATGGAAAGAAAAAGAGGAAAGGAAGGGAAGAGGGAAGGGAGGAGAGAAAGAGGGAGGGAAGGTTGGCCACAGCAATGCGTGGCGGGTACAGCAAGTATACACACATATACACTCAAAAACACATATACACAGACAGGGCACAGCATCGTGTGGCAGGGGACGGTTAGTTTTGGGAACAGAGAAGATTTTATTATTTATTTATTTATACCCCGCCACCATCTCCCCAAGGGGACTCGGAGCGGCTTACATGAGGCCAAACCCAACAACACATCAATAGAACAAAAAACAATAAGCAAAAACAATACAATTAATATAACTCACATGTAAACAGTAACACACAAGGATTTAAAAAACCTATGGCCGGGCCAAATGCAATAATTTAAAATTTAAAAGGAGATGGGAGATCCTTTGTGCTTCTAAATAAGGTCTTTTCTGCTTGCACTATTTACATGGGCGAGTTCCCTTCTTCTTAACAGGACATAGAAATGGTTTCACAAGCATTTCCCTAGATCAGCATTTCTCAACCTGCGGATCGTTTGACCATTGGGCACTCTATGTGGGGTTGCCTCTGAAGACTGCCCAGAAGTTCCAACTAGTCCAACGCTCAGTAGCCAGGTTGCTTCCCGGAGCGGAGTACAGGGGGCACACAACGCCCTTACTACACCAGCTCCACTGGCTGGCTATTAGCTTCCAGGCACAATCCAAAGTGCTGGCTTTGGCCTATAAAGCCCTGAACAGTTCTGGCCCAGTTTACTTGTCTGAATGTATCTCCTGCTACGATCCACTTAGGACCCTAAGATCATCTGAGGAAGCCCTGATTGTTGTCTCCCATCATCGCAATCGTGTTTGGTGGGGACAAGGGACAGGGCCTTTTCTGTGGTGGCCCCTCAGCTGTGGAACTCCCTCCCAAGCGAAATTAGATCTGCTCCATCCTTCCTGACCTTTCGGAAACAAGTGAAATCCTGGCTATGGATCAGGCCTTTGCAGACTAGGCTGACCTGCTGGCAAAGCAACGGCTTTAATGGACTTGATGGACTACTTTTAAGACGATTACTTATATCAGTGCCTCTCTGACAGTTTTGATGTTTTTATACTGTTTTTAATTAAATTGTATATTTATGCTTTTGGTTGTGGGCACCACGGTGCGCCGGTTGTTAGCTGCCCTGAGTCCCTCTGTGGAGGCTGAGATAGGATGGGATACAAATGCCCGAAATAAAATACATAAATATGAGGGGTTGCCGCCGCCTGCTCCTCCTTCAGTCCTGCCCCCACCCCTAGAATGACTGCCTGGCTT